AGCAACTCACTAAAAACTACTTAACACCCATCATTACACATGCTCTAATAGTAGCTGACAAAACTCATATCAAATGTAATCTTCTCTATATATGAAAAAGATCACACAAAACAATATTTTGACTGATATCAATAAAACTTAAAACCATGAGTAAAATTTAATCCTATTGATATGTCAACGTTACTGTCAATTTTTGTATTGTACCACTCTAATAAATCAGCAATACATGTATATAAGATAATCTAATGATCATTTTAAATAAATCTATCATTTGAATTTTCTTAGAAATGTAATAATATTCATTCAAATACATGATGTAGGAAAATTTTCCACATAATTGTGTGGCTCATTACCATTTGTTTCTTTAGCGAAGAGTATCCCCTCACTATTACTTCTAATCMGATATATCAAAACGAGTAGTATATACATTTAAAAAGTCTCTTCATAACCGTTGGAACTTGGAATTCGAAGTTGATTAATTAGGTCCACGGTCCACCTCCACTTCAAAAGGTTCTTAGTACACCTAGTACTAGTTTTATTATCAAACAATATCTATATATACAACATTATTAGAAAGCACATAACATTTCTTCTCTACTACATACAAATTATTAAAGTTGCACATAATCACAATGGCGACTACATCATCCTCGTTCCGGATCAAACTATTGTTCTTTCTGATCTTAAACTTCTTCTATCTTCATAATCTAGTGTTTGCCCATTCATCAAACTCAAAATTCACAAAATTCACAAGACACCCAAACTCCGATTCAACATCATCAAGAAGAACCAAACACTCAAGTACTTCTTCTAACGATGTGTTTCTCAACTCGGTCCAACGCAGCTTGGAAAACGCTCGCTTAGCTCATTCTCTCGCCTTCAATCTCACGCTCTCCCACCGTACCACTCAATCCCTCATGCTCGATCCCGTCAACGACTGTCTTGAGCTCCTTGACGACACGCTTGACATGTTGTCTCGTATAGCCACCAAGCGTAAAGATCACGTCAACGATGACGTCCATACATGGCTAAGCGCCGCGTTGACTAATCAAGAGACTTGTAAACAAAGCCTTAGTGAGAAATCTAGCTTCAACAAAGAAGGAATCACGATGAATTCCTTCGCAAGAAACCTCACCGGTTTACTAACAAATTCACTTGACATGTTCGTGACCTCTAAACGGAAACATGATTCCTCTTCCTCTAGTGTCGGTGGTCGGAGACTGTTGTCGGATGATCAAGATTTTCCGACGTGGGTTTCTTCGTCTGACCGGAAACTTCTAGAATCTTCGGTAGAGGAGCTGAGACCTCACGCGGTGGTGGCTCTAGACGGAAGCGGGACACACATGAGCGTAGCCGAAGCATTGGCCTCATTGTCGGAGGGGAGTGGCAGAAACGTAATTCATTTAACAGCCGGAACTTACAAAGAGAATCTAAACATTCCGACCAAACAGAAGAACGTTATGTTGGTTGGTGACGGAAAGGGCAAAACAGTCATTGTCGGTAGCAGAAGTAACAGAGGCGGTTATAATACTTACCAAACCGCTACTGTCGGTGAGATTTTCATCAAACTTTTATAATCAGAAAAGTATACAATTAGATAATTTGGTACTATATGATTTTCACTTTTTAGGTTGTGTCCCCCCGCTTGGTATATGCCAATTCTCTATTTTATTTTTAATATTGAACTGTCTACATCAAGAACTAATGTTTTATCAAAGTTTCAAAAAAACAAAAGAAAAAGAACTAATGTTTTAAAGTAAGATCTATGTACATTTGTAGTCTTTTTACGTCGTATTTTATGTTATTTTCTCATTATAATTATTACCTGTTTTACAATTTCATTTTTGTTGAAAACACTCCTCTAACTCTCTTTATATATCAAGAACAATTTTTTTTTTCTTTTTCTAATCTATATTTTTATGAATTTTTTTATGTTGTTACTATAAGGTCTATTTTCTCATTTAAATACTTCAAAATTTACAACTTTATTTGCTAAAAACTCCTTAACTACTTGAAAATACTAAACTTGAG